CACTATTGCCTGAACTTTCTTAGGATCAACTCTTATGCCTTATGTCGAGACCACATGACCAAGAAAATCAACTTCTGATAGCCAAAACTCACACTTTGACATCTTGACATATAACTTTTTCTCCTTGAGTATCTCAAGCACAGTACAAAGATGACAATCATGCTCTATCTTTATCTTCGAGTACACCAGAATGTCATTAATAAATACCACCACAAACTGATCCAAGTAAGGCTAAAATACTCGATTCATCAAATCCATGAATGTTGCCTGAGCATTTGTCAAACCAAACGGCATTACCATGAATTCGTAGTGCCCATACCGTGTTCTGAAAGTTATCTTTGGAATATCTTCATCTTTTATCTTTAACTGGTGATATCTCGATCGAAGATAAATCTTAGAGAAAACTGTTGTTCCCTTAAGCCGATCAAACAAGTCATCAATCCTCGGAAGAGAATACTTGTTCTTGATAGTCACATTATTTAACTACCGATAATCTATACATAATCGCAGGGATCCGTCTTTCTTTTCACAAACAACACTAGTGCACCCCAAGGTGAAACACTCGGTCTAAAGAATCCTCGATCTAGTAGCTATTGCAATTGAGTCTTTATTCTCTTAACTTGGTCGAAGCTATTCGATATGAAACCATAGAAACATGATCAATACCCTTATAACCATAAATCTTGAATTCCACCTCTCGATCTAGAGGTAAACCGGGTAATTCATCTAAAAAGACAGTTGGAAATTCTCGAGTTATGGGAAAAACATATGATCTTACTTCAGATACTTGAGTATCTATCACCTTAGCTAGAAAAGCTATGTATCCTTCTTATATCATTTTAATTGCAACCATTGTTGATATCACATTGGTGATTATTTCACTTTTTCACCAATCACTAAAATTTCCAATTTCTTCGCATCTTTCTTAATTAATCGCTTCTTACGACCATCAACCCAACCATAGTGCAGAGACAACTAACCCATTCTAAATATGATCTAAAACTCATTAAATGATAATCTCTTCAGATTCACCAGGAACATAGCCTCTTGAATCTTTATCGGACATTTTTTACCTGTCCGACTCAAATTTGCACCATGACCCATAGGTTTTCCGCTATCATATCACTTGAAAATCACATTTGCTCATCTAATAATGCACCGTAGTGCTGAGGTCGGGCCTTTCCCACCTAACTTGTATTATGTGTCTTCACTATAAAATCTAGTACTAGTTAAATTTGCAGCTGCTAGACTCCATGGCATGCCATTAATACCACTGAACCTCAATAACATACTTAGGTATCTAGTCATGAATTAAATCATCCAAGGCAATGTATACTATATAATTAACATTAGGGTATTTCATACCCGGAATAAAATTCATGGCAAAATATCATATTTGTCAATGATCAATGCATTATGATTTACACTTTGAAATATCAAGGTCATGTCGATATTATGAATAATGACATAATATTATGCTGATATAAACAAGGTAGACTTATTGCAAGTCTTCGTGATGATGTATAAAACATCTATGTACAATGTCATGCATGTATTGCACTCACCTTGACACTTTATAAATTTCAAAAGATTTGCCTCACTATGCTCCCAACTTAACCCTTTTATACTTGATTTGTTTCGATCACAAAATCAATCACGATTTGTACAAAAATCACAAATTGATATCGATACATATGTTAGTATTGTACTAACATAAATACTTTTCCAAAATAAAATCCATAATTATACTTGAAACTTATTCTCTACTAAAATACTTCAACACTTATTAATTGTTTTAATATTGGCACCAACTTTTTCAATTTATAGAAAATGGTCATTCACCATTTTATCACTTAAATTTTAAATACCAAAATTCTAGAATTGAAATAATTACCACCCAAGTACATTTACAAAGGCATACTTCATATAAATACCCCAAACTTTTCAAATATTACATATAATTCACTAAACTTTGGGAAATACAAGTTTTGGTTATCTGAGGTTTCTTTTTTTGTGCATGTAGTAGCAGCGGATGATATTCGAGTCGATCCCAAGAGTGTAACTGAAGTGCAATGTTTCTTGGGACTTGCAGGTTACTATCGTAGGTTTGTGAAAGGTTTTTCAATGATAGCGACCCCGATGACTAAATTACTTCAGAAAGAAGTATCATTCATATGGGGGAGAAAAGCATCAGAGTAGTTTTGAGTAGTTGAAAACTCTTTTGACCCAAGCCCCAACTCTAACTCAACTAGAGTCAAGAAAAGAACTCACATTTTATAGCGAGGCTCCACTAAACGACCTCAAATGTGTGTTAATACAAGAGGAAAAGGTGGTCTCCTATGCTTCTCGTCATCTTAAGCCTCACGAACGAAATTATCCTACTCACGATCTAGAACTTGCAGTAGTAGTATTCATTCTCAAGATTTGGAGACACTACCTATATAGGGAGAAATGTTATATTTTCACAGATCTTCTCCTTCTTCCTTCTAGAATTTTCCATTTTACTTTCTCTTTTATCTCAAATTCAAGTTTTTCCAATCATTTCTTTATCCATTTGAAAGCTTTAGATTAAGCCTTCTTTTTTAAGATTTATCATGTTTTCAAAAAATGGGTTTTTAGGAAGTGTAGTAAAATCTAATGATCCAAGGTGGTTTGGTTAGATTTAAGGGTTAATAAATGTTCTAAATATTATCTTCAATAAATAGACAACTTATAAATTTCTTTTTTCTTACTCTTGTTTAGAAAAAGAAGTGGGTGGAAGTTCAAATACAAAAGGGAAGGAAAAAACATATCAAGAGTGATTGAAGATTAGCATTTAGCCAAGGATAAAAGGTATCCACACCTACAACTCCACCATATTCTTAGTGGGTCATTTTAAAGTATTGAATAGTATGAAGGTAAGAAGTAAGCTTATCTATCATATCTATGGTAGATTCTATATTTTGAAAGTTTGAGCATACCTAAAGCTTTATTTATGATCCTTTTTAATCATATAAGACTTTAAAGAATGTTTGGGGACCTCACTAAGGTCTTTGGGAGTGAAATATAGCATTTTCATACATGAATTGTGTATCATACAAGTTGAGTATCGATACTATAGGGTTAATATCAATACTTGTTCTTCATTTCTGGGTAAAAACGTGTTTTTCTGGGTATGAGTATTGATACTCTTTCAAGAGTATCGAAACTTTGGGTCATAGTTTCGAAACTCCCAGGAAGTATCGAAACAGGGCATCACAAATGCTTAAAAGTATCGGTACTTACATAAAGTATCGAAACTTTTGCAGGAGTATCTATATTGGAGAGCTAGTATCAATACTTTCAGTCTGTTTTGGGTAAAAAGGTCAATTTTGAAGGGAATTAGAGTTGACGTACCCCAACACTTCATTATATCATCAAATAATACTACAAGTGGAACAATAATAAAGATTAACTTAGACGTAGAAATAAGATAAAATAGGGACAAATAAAACTAGCCTTTCTTGATGCTTGGGAAACGATTCGGACACTTGAGTTCCTTTTAGTTTAGGGTGTCGAAGTATAGAATAAGTTCGGATATCCTTAGGTAGGGTGCAAGGCCCTTAAAAAGACTAGCTAGGGCGCAAGGTCCGACACTCGCAAGGTGTGGGCTAGTCGGGGGTGTGGTGTCTGATGCATAGATTTCAGGGGCCACATCCTTGGTAGACTAGAAGGATGTGTGAGCTCCGAGATGCAGAAATCCCTTAGTCGTGCCATGTTGTCTACCATAGCGTAGAGAGTGAGTATCGCAAGGATACTCACTAATGATTTGGTTGATTGTTTAGATAGAGTTATTAAAGCATGTTCTAAATATACCCCTGTTAGTATGTTTTAGTTGTTATTGTGACACTGAGTTAGTTAGCTCAGCGTTTGGAATTCGTTTCCTTACGCTGATTAGCTGAAGATCAGTAGTGGAGCCTTTTGACTAGAAGAAATCCATACCAAACAACAGAGCTCCCGGCTGTAAACTATTTTTACATTGATTTTATTATCTATTTTATTGCATGTATTTACACATGAAGCTTTAATTTCAAGTGAGTATGATAAAGAAAATTTGTTGGTTAGCCACTTTGATGGTTCCGTGTGACACTCTCATTGGTCGACTGTGTGTCGTAGTGGAGTAGGGTGTTACATAGTAGAGGTCAACTTTCCCAATGACGAACCTGTCTTCACCTCCGAAGATGACAAATATCTCGTATCAGACGTAGTTCGATACATGTATTACAACATTCCTAATTGCTTCAGAGCAGGGCTCGGGTTTGCCTCCAAAGCCTTTGTGCCTCCGATTCATCATCGGCTAAGGCTGAGCAGTTGCTCTCATTACAGTCTGCAAAGTATTTCCCATTCATCCCTTGCGCTTGTGGGCTCAGTGCTACGTAGCAGGTAGAGGATGCACCCTGCATTCATTCACAATTCCCAAACTGCAACATAAACACTACTGGTTCCACCATCCCCTTTTGGTTTTACATTTATATACCATACAAATATGTCGTTTAAATCGAAATTAATTATATGAATATATTGATCATGAAACAGACTCTCGAACGTAGATGACGACAAACCTGAGATGTCGACTTGAGCAACTTGGACGCAATAAAGAAAAGAGAATCTGCATATATAGAGAGATTAGGAGTAAAAGGTCAGCAGTTAAACTTTTTTGTTTAAATAGTATGAGGCATTACAAAATATTGCTTATTCTATTCATATTCATAGAGATTCTCGCCTGTAATAAAGCACATGTGTGCTCTGATAATTCCGGTTTTTACAATACCTGGGTGTACTGCATTCATGGTTATATTTGCATTTCCGGCCTGCAAATTTGAACATTGTTGTTTACAAATTGACAAGAAAATAGACACTTTCAGGTAGTAGAGCGGTCAGCTTTAGCTGTCTGCCTATTTCTTTGGCATGCAATATGTTTGCTACTTTGGATTGAGCATAAGCACGTGTGCCGTTGTAGCTGCATCAACAACACCAACACTTTATATATATATATATATATAGGGAAAGGAATTAAAGTACTTGTTAGGGTTGAGCATTTGGTTGAAGGTGAAACAGTCTCTTTTAACCCAGCTGTGAATCACAGAAGAAAGGTTTATGATTCTTCCTTGGATCCCTGTCTGCTCTGCTGTTTCTATCATCTTCTCTATCAACAATTCTGTCAATAAAAAATGCCCTGCCACAAAAAAATACCAATATAAATAAGTTGGAGTGTTCGTTGTTCCGTTTTAATTGAATTAGCCAACAGATTCAAAATTTAATTTGATTAACTAGATGTTAGATCGGTTCAAGGTTAAAGAACTTTTTAAAATTCGATTATTAGTTAATTTTGTTCGATATCAGATAATTAACTAAATTGACCAAAAATGTTGAATATTGAATATATTATATATTACATGTATATTTTAAGCTTAAATCTCTTAAAAATTAATGACCCAAAGTTCATTAAACTACAATCAAATTTTAACTTAAATGAGAAAATTACCTCCATTAAATTTAAATTAATCTAACTAAAAAAATTTACAAAATATTATGTTAATTTGATCCCAGTCGATTTAATTAAACTTTGTCCAGTTGAATTAATAATTTTAAAAGGTATTCAGTCCGGTTAACAATTAAAGCAAAAACAATTAATTTAATTTTGAATAATTTGATTTAGTCGGTGACTGAATTAATAACACCCTTACAAGATTATATTATAATATAAAAGTGAAAAAAAGGATAGTTTACCCAGGTAATTTGTTGCAAATGTCATCTCAATTTTTTCCTCAGAAATCTCCAGATTCTGAGAGAATATCCCAGCATTGTTTGTACAAAAATAGTGATAAACAACTCTTACATTTCATCTACTGCACTGATTTCCTGTTATCAGAAAGAAAAAAAAAAATTGGTAAAGATGAACGTACATGAGGATGTTAAGGGGAAGCCCCAGAGCTAGAAACTGCGTGCAGAATTTCTTGACAGAAGCCAAAGAACTAAGATCAATCTCCAACACAATAATCTCAGCATTCGGATTAATATCCCTCTGAATTCCCTCCTTCAATTTGGCCGCCTTCTTCCGATCCCTCGCCGCTATCACGACTCTCACTCCTCTCTTCGCCATCACTCGAGCCGTCTCGGCTCCGATGCCTCACGTCGCCCCTAAGAAGAATAACACACTGAGAAATCAAAAAATGTTCCTATGTGTGCATGCAATATAAAGAGTTCAAAATCACTAACCAGTGATTATAGCGGTTAAACGGCGAGTGTCGATCGAGTAAGAACAACTCTCGGCGACCTGTTCGGCTGTTGATTTAGAACCGTGGCCACTGGGGCCGGCAGTGCCTGCTAGGTATCTCAGTGTTCCCTTCATGAAGGTGCCTCGGTTCAAGCTCACAATCTCAAACCACCAAAGAAGCACAATAGGTACCATCAAGATATATATAGTATACATATAGTTTGTTATACGTAGAGAGAAGAGCCTTTGAAAAGTTTGATTTCCTACTTCACCTACTACACTAACATTGTACTCTCAACAATTAAACAACGTTGACTTGTGAACGTTTCCTTGGTCCTTTCTATATTTATCTCTCTGCCCTTTCATGGGTGGCTTCCATTGTAGAGTATGGTCTTCGTCTGTTTCTATGATTTTCGAGTTTGTTCCATTGGCATATATTTAAACTTCAGACTTTATTAAAAGAATTTAATGTTTTATCCTACTAGATTAACTAATTGTTATTCAAGTAATGTCTTTCTAATAATGACGATTCTACCATTTTTTTAATAATCTGACGTAATTATAAGTTAACATATGTTTAAGTTTTTTCTTAGTTATTGATAACGCACGTAACATCCTATAAACACAATTGCTCGAATCTTAAACTTTAAGAAAGAATAACAATATGAGAACACTCAATCGTTTAATAATTCTACCATTTAAAATTGGTTCAAATGTCCCGGAGAATATGAAATTTTAACATATGATTATTGACTTTTAGGTTTAAAAAATCTAGTGATGACATATCAAAATTTGACCTACGAAGGGTATTTTGTTTTTCTATTCATTTATTTGTTGTAAATCAAGATGTATATCAACTTGTCAATCATGTTAATTTATGAGAATAATATTAGTAGAACTAATTATCAAAATAATAATTATAAAATATTTTAAAAACTAACTTTTTTTCCGATTATATAGGATACATTCAACTCGTCATATCTTATCGAATACATTTTCAATTAGACGCGAAATTAATGATTTACTTTGACAAACCACCTTTGGTAAGGCAGGACCAATTGAACCACTTTTTTCTTACGTTATCGAAAAGAATGCCATTTTTTTTATAACTACGTGTATCTCATCTATTGATCGACTAATCTACATCGTGTACTACAGAGGCAAGAGTGGACTCTCCCAACTCAGTTTACTTTAATCACGATCGTCATGATTTAAACCCCTGACATTGCTTAAGAGATCTAGTACATCATTCCACTTAGGGATAGCAATAGGTCGGGTTAGTATCATGCTTTTGGTCACCCTCCACCCGACCCGTCCCAATGCAAATGAAGGATTTAATTACAAAATAATACATTTTAAGCAAATTACATTATTATCCTCAGGTCAGATCGAGTCGGAATTTTTTCACCGTCCATCCGAACCCGAACCGAACTCGAATTTGTTTTTAAAAAAATTCCGATCCAATCGGGTTGGAACCCGTTGGATGTGGGTAAAATTACCATCCGTAGTCCCACTAGACCAACCGATTGTTGGTAAAGAATGTCGTTTTTTAAAATAAACTTTTAGGTGCTATTATGATAAATAAATATTTTTTAAAATAAATTTTAGGTGATATTATGATAATTAATTTTTAAGTGGATAGTATTCTCATAAATTAGCTTGTAAATGAAGTTGTTGAACAGCTTGTAAATCAAACTGTATAAGAAGTGTAATCCTATCTTGGATTAGTTTGAATGAGTTGTAAAGTTTAAAGGGTTTTATATGTATATATACTTTGGAAATGGAATTTAATTTCTCATATTTGAAAATCTTTAGCATCCAATTTTCTCTAACTATAATTTACGAATTTCTAATATCAATTAGAGATATATAATTTTATTAATTATTTATATATGCTCGTTCATTTCTTAGTTGGGTATAAGACAAGACTAAAATCCAGATTAAGCGAGGATATCATGGATTTTGGAGAAATTGAAGTATATTTTATTCTTCAAATACGATTCCCTAACAAAACACAATCTACATTGTGATTAACATATTGAATTTTATTAATTAATGACACAAAAACCTTAACTAGTATTGGCTAAAGACAAAAGGGAAATTATATTCCCTTAAACCCATGTTTTCCACTAAGACGAAAATAGAGGATAGTATATATTATATTTTAATAGTTTAGGGTGTTTATAAGGGTAAAAACTGTTCAAATTTTTTTAATTATTGACAACGTAAACATGTATTATACAAGCACTCTAATGCACATATATAAAGAAGAAGAAAACTTTCTTATTCATTGAAACCACTTGAAGAGTTCGAAATAAAAGCTTTTATATATATATATATATATATATATATATATATATATATATATATATGATTTCAACGTTGAAATATTGAAGCTAAATCCAACAAGTTTGGTTTTGCATGCTCACATGTGCAAACAAAATGCATATTCAATCAAAGTAATAATTTTGGGACAGCATTATTCATGTATTCAACCACCAAATAAATTTGAGACAAAAGTGGTGCCTTTATTTTTGGTTTCTCCCGTGTTGCCGTTTGGTCTCCAACAGGCAAAAGTCTCGTCTTTCACTTGGAGAAATGATGTCGAATGTTGGAGAATTGAGGGAGTAAAAGACAGCGATGAAGTTGACTCCTCGACCATGGCAGTTTTATTACAAACACAAACGGGTATTATTAGTGTCGATCTAAAATTATTTTTGAACAAGGATACATTTATATTAATAAAACAATTTTTTTAAGGTGAACAGAAATAAAATTTTAAAGTAGATACAATTAATAACCTAAATAATTAATTAAAGAAAATCTAAATTTTAAGGTGAACATAGGATTGATTTACCTAGGGATAGGCACGAAACTCAAACTCAACTGATTCCATCTTAATCTTATTGGGTCAGTTTTTTTTTAAAAAAAATTGATGTCGGGTCGGGTTTTTTAGAAGATATGTTCGAGTTGAGTTTGAGTTTAAAGTAAAAAATATTCGATCCAAAAAATAATATAATTATGCCTTATATATTTAGAGATAATTGTAGTAATATCTCTCTATATTTTTTAATTAGATCCTTATTTTTATCAAATAAAATTAATCTTTTTTATAATATATTTGTTTCGGGTCAAATTCGGATCGGGTGAAATTATCTTCGACCCGAGTTGAGTTTCGGGTGGAGAATGCATATTTTTCGGGTTGGTCGGAAACTCGACCCAATCCAACCCATGCCCATTGTAATACCCTAATTTTTTTCGGGCCTTTTAAATCCATTTGAAGATGATCGAGAATCAATTTGAAGATATTTGTGCCCGATGAGAAATTAATTCGAATGACATGAGGGTGTTGATGAAAGATAAATCGTGGAAGCTTGCATTTGGGTTAATATGAAATCGAGAAGCTTTAGGTGCTGAATTGGATTGTAATCATATTTATTTCAGTTTGGAATTCAAGAGATAAATTGGAACAAAAGCAATCGATAAAGCAAAGCGATAAAATACGAGGACTCTTGAGGCACATTCAAAGCAGTCCAGTGGACAGTGCACGTCATCCGTATGTATCTCCAATTTTATACATGTTCCAAGCATCTTTGGGTGTTAAAGTCTTCTTAACAATTATTCCATTATGTCTTATCTTTCCAACGCACTTTGAATCGTATTAATACGATATTTGGAACTCGAGATATGGCTGAATTAATGAAGACAGTGCAGGCTGGAAATAGTCCAGTGGGAAGATCACGACATTCGGATGTATCTCCAATTTTGAACCTGTTAAAAGCATATTTGGATGATTAAGTCTTCCTAACAATTATTCCATTATGTCTTATCTTTCCAACGCACCTTGAATCGCATCAATCCGATGTCGGTAGCTCGAGATACGCTCAGATAAATAAATACTGTGCAAGCTGAATACGGGATTTACGAATTTTCAACAAAACTTTTGTTTTCCATTTATTTGCACAATAGACACGTTGGGAACAGCTTTTGTATGAACATGGAGACATGGCAAGCTGGAACAGCACTAAGAAACAACCACTCACCAGCCCATAATGAATAAAAAAGAAGAGACCACGTTGGAGAAGCTGGAATTGCACAATGCCACCATCCCTTGTTTTGTGAATGGTTTACCCACTCACTCAAGAGGGGATACATGTGGGGGGATGGTTTATAGACGCACAACACATCAACAAATGGTGGTGGAGCAGTATATTAAAGGAGCAATTAACTAAAAGAGGCTGGGTGGTTCGGCTAAGGGAGCAGTATATTAAAGAAAAAAAGAAAAAAGGAGTGGGGGATTCTCGTATAATGATCTAAGAGAATTCACAAGAGAAAGGAGGCAACCATTTCAAAGAGGGGACGACCAGCCCTTGCTTTGGGAAGAATCTGGCCACTCACTCGAGCTGGAGAGAAGGGCATACACGTCTAGTTGCTGCTGGAGATCCTATACAGAATTGGAACGGGGAAGCTCTCGGTTTTCAACAACAAAAAACAGTATGTAAAGGGACTTTCATCTCCCATTTTTTATCATTCGAAAGAAGTAATTTTCGGGTGTCCATTCCCGATTTTGTTGAGTATTCATGAGCGGTATAATCAAATGTAATTCGGGAATGAAAGAAAGCAATTGAAAAGGCGAATGATAATTTCATAAGGTATATGTTATTATTCGTTTTCGATTCTCATGCTTGTAGTGTGTGTTCTTGTCTCTACCTTGTTTATGTTTCAATCTTAAATTAATGCTCATCACGTTTTAATCCATATTTAAGTTTTTTATGTGTATGCATGTATGGTTAGTTAGAGTTCATTTCGATTTTAGCACTTGAAATGTGATTATTTGTGTTCTATGATTTAACTTTTGTTTAATCTGTGATCTTAGTCTTAGATTTATCTACTTATTAATTTCAATCATTATGTTGTTCTTTCTTGTATATATGATTTCATGATAATGTGCATGTAAATATGAATATGGTAGGTTAGTAATTTCAAGTATTAAGATTTTAAAAATTCCTTTGTAAAATGTATAGCCATAGGTGTATGCACGTGTTTTATTTTAGACTTTGATATTTATTCGAATATGTGGCATTATATAAATTAATTTTACATGACATCCTATTGCATAATATGTATGATATCCTCACGTGCATAACTCGACATTATTACATAATCAGATTAAGGGTAATACCCTTTTAATTTAAAACTGTCGGAATGGCCTTTCTTAACTTACAGGAAAGTTGTTCTTGACGATTTTAAATTACAAGTGTATCCCATCAGTGACACCAAAAATTCGATTTCT